TCTGTAGTGCAGATTTTGAAACTATAGTTCAGTGGTGGACATTATTCACCAGAAAGCCTGATAAATTTTAATAGAAAGACAGTTTTAGAAGTAAAATTCAATTGGGAACCCATTTAAAGCTGCATTAGGACATTCATTTGTCCCGTGCTCACCCAGCCCTCATATAAATACAAACTCCTGAACTCTGTGGCCCTCAGTGGAAACCTTTAGACACATTACAAGTATTTACCTGATATCCATAGATGCTCAACATTTTTACATTTCAGTTATTGCATCCATAAGAGAAGATCAGTCGGCCCACCTGTTGGAGAGATGACACCACTACGACTTGTCTAATCAACTGTTCTGTGTTGTTTCCCAAGAATGTACCTGTGATCGAGATCCCTGAAGACATGAAACAGAACATGCGACCAATCGGGTTCCTGTAAGTAAAAAACACAAACTGCTGAGCCTCTGTATGTTCACACACTCTTTACATTATCTAACATGTATATGTGTCTCTCTATATCTGTGTAGGAATGGAAAGGTGTTGTATGAGCTTGTCTTTCCTGCTCCTACAGTCAGGCCCTCCAAGTCACAGTAAGTTTGATCTGCTTTTGGACAAAATATGCTTTTCCTAGTTAGAGCTGACTCATGTGTAGCAGCGGTGTCATTTGTTAACCAAGACTCTGGCATAAATGTTATTATAATCAGTATCTTTCAGTGAGAGTTTAATCAACCAAAGAGCTACGCTAAAGATAACGTTTTAAGTTTGTATTGAAAATCCTTATTATCCTGCTTTTTATCAGTAGTTATCGATTCCTAACAGTTCTACACAGTGGAAACAAATGCTCACGTTTTGTTTCTGTTTTGTCTCTATAGAAAGAGAAAGTGTGACAACAGGCAGGACAACCGACCTTACATCAAAAAGCCACCGAATGCCTTCATGCTATATCTCAAGGAGCAGAGGGCAAATGTGGTGGCTGACCAGAAAGTGAAGGACAGTGCAGCAGTCAACACCCTGCTGGCAGAGAGAGTAAGTGTGTTTGAGACACTGTGTCACAGGTTCAGTCACAGTTTGATCCAAATTGTTTATCTACCATCATGCTTGTGTGTTACATCTAGACAGGGATTTTTGTTCTTTCCTTAAAAGCAAATGATTTAGGTTGCTGACCATGTGTTGTTGTCTGTCCACAGTGGAGATCTCTGACAGAGGAGCAGCAGGCCAAGTACTATGAGCAGGCCAAGACACTCAAACTGGTCCACGCTCAGCAACACCCTGACTGGTCAGCCAACGACAACTATGTATGTTAACTCTGCTTCCTTACAACTCATATGTAAGTACAAATGTCATAGCCATACACAAATGATCAGATATCATAAATAAAGTGTGTTTTCTTTTAGGGGAAAAAGAGGAAAAGACGTAGGATCAGAAAGTCCTCCACGGCAGCATGTAAGACAGCTTTTGATTGGATGAAAACAAGATGACATGTGACCACACTGGATCATTTATATTTGTGAAATGTTTTTAAAGACCTTTGTAAAACTTCTTAACCGCTTTGAGGGACTGTTGAACATTTACATTAATACAAGAAACTGAAGGAGAAACAAGCTTATTCAAATTTTGTAGGTGAAGTTCAAGGTCAATACAGATGGTCAAACATTAAATTCAACCTAAATGACATAAAACAACTTTCCGCCCATGTGAACAACACTGAGGTAGACTGTCTCATTGTATCCTGAAAAACTGATCATGTCATTAGTCTTTTAAAGTGAATCAATGTTAGTGTCAACATGTTGCTTAGTGCAGGTTTATGAAGCAGCATCTTGTCTTCAAGGTGTTTCACAGAAGACTGATCCTGTGTTTGTTTGTGTTCTGCAGCGTCTTTGACAGAACCTGCTGAGGAAACTCCTCAGGCAAAAAAGCCTCATCTGTCGGTGACGGAGGATGAGAAGATAACATCAGAGCAGCTCGACAGCTGAACTCAATCATTTGATCCATCAAATGATTACTTACAATAGATTATTTTGGATTATTAATACATATTAATATGTTACCATACATTAAGTCTGTGAAGATTCTCAGTCATGGTCATCACTGGAGCTTCAGGAGACATAAGCTGGACTTCTCTCGAAAGTGATGTAAGACGTTTCACATCTCATCCAAGAGGATTCTTCAGCTCTATCTGACTAAGGAACAGAATTTATAGTAACACCAGCTCACATGACTAATGGCTCATTACTGACTCAGGACTCACATGCCTCAAGATGGGAACTGTTGTGAAACCAGGTGGTCCACCAACAACAACAGCAATCATAGAGATGGAGATACCAGTTTACACAACAAAGCATGTAAATCTGCCATGTCAGGAGTGACTGAAGATGCTGACCATGACAAAACATTCTGAGGAGAGACCTTATCACTGTGTTATAGGCACTTGATAAGTGGTGTCACAGACTCCTTGCTCTGTTTAGAGATGGCTGGCTCCATTTATCCCTCTTTCAAACCATCTGTCCTCTCTGTCCAAAATGTGGACGTTGCTGTCCTCAAAGGAGTGTATCTTGTGCTTCAGATGCAGGTGGATGCTGAGTCTTGTCCTGAGGAGCTGCTCTCCTGCATTGAGCCACACACTTGTGAAGCTGTTTTTTAGTGTCTCCTGTGTACAAGTCTGTGCACCCTTGGCTGCATTGGGCTGCATGTACTGTGTTGTTCTGCTTGTGTGTTGGTCTTTGGTCCTTGGGGTAAACCAGTTGTTGTCTCAGAGAGTTGCGGGGTCTGAAAGGCACCGGGATGTTACACACTTACTGTTAGTATGACAACCTACAGTCAGTGTGCAGCTGCATGTCTGCAGGTGTATGAATCGGACACATTTTACTAACATGTTGCTATCATGCGCTGTCACGTGTCACCTGTAATTGACTGAATAGTTTTGGTGTTTTAAATGTTGAAAAGAGGCAATCATTATCACCTCATCTTAAAAAAAAAACTGGGAAACATTCTCATTGGAGAATCTGTTTGTTCGTTGCACTGTTGTTAAAATATTCTGAAAGTGTTAGTGGTGTAGAAAAAGTCCACTTTTATTACTTCACCAGGTAAGACGTGACAAAACACACAAGCTGTCTGTGCAACAGCACTTGATGACAAACCACAGGAACAGACTAGAGACTGAAGTTATCTCCTTCTGTGTAGTTTGCAGTTTTGTGCCACAGACAGCTCTCTGTGGTCGAGTGTAAAAAAAAAAAAAAATGTGAAAATGAAACAAAAAACAAAGTGTTAGTAAATTGTGTAATAAAATGTTAACATTATGGGAGCTGAGACGGTACGGTGGGTCAGCGTCCATCACTGTCACTGTCACATCACAGCTAGATAACACAGTACTGTCAGTGTAGAGGATGGTCTGGCTGGGAAACACTAACAGGGACTGATTTGCTTTTGGAGACAACTTCAAGTGGATATTTAGGGACTTGCAGGTTGACGCTACAATAAATCTTATGCCAAATTTCAGCCTGATATTACGGAGCCCTGGAAGGGACAAGGAGAAAGAAAAATAACAGGGAGAGGGAAAAAAAAAACAGAGGTATCTTTTTGCGAGATCTCACAAAAGTCACATCAGTCTTATGCCTCTTGCTAAGCACTGCTTGAATGTCTTTATATTTTAGGCCGATTTCAAAATAAAACTCAATAAAACTCTTGTACGAGTGGGTATCCCATAGTATATATCCCTATAGTTCTACGTGATGTTACAAAAGGTATTGCGAGATCCCAAGAAAGTTTTGCGAGATCTCGCAAAAGATACCTCTGTCTTTTTTCCTTTCCCTGTTTTTTTTTTTCTTTCTCTGGGGCTCCGTGTGAAATCACCCAATGGTGTATAAATAACACCTTAAATGACCTTAAAGGTGGCGTAATATTTATACGACATCTCATGATATCCCGTTGGATGGTCCTATAAAATGTTAAAACTAAAAAGTAAAAAAACAATAGATTTAGAAAGTATACAATAGATAGATAGATAGATAGATAGATAGATAGATAGATAGATAGATAGATAGATAGATAGATAGATAGATAGATAGATAGATAGATCTTTATTAACTTTATTACTTATTACCTTGCAGAAGATAAAGGGGGTATAAATAAAGGAATGGATGGGCAATGTTTTGCTATTTACAACAAGAAAACCAGGTCATGCTATTGCGCAAAAATTCATTTCTTTATCTGGCCCTGGGTGTAATAGTTCAAAAGGACTCTCTAGAAGTTCGTCAGAAATGTGTAACTAACCTGATTTTGTTAGATTTAGTCCCACATACTTGTAAGCTAATTCTAACATATTATTGTCACAGAAAAGCCTGATGTGTGCTTTTATGTGATAACCCAGCACCACCCAGTGTGGACAGTAAAACCTGCAGGCACAACATGCTGACATGAGTCTGGAAGAGGAAGTGGAAACAGTTCAGCCCGAGTTGGAAATGCAAAAATGTTTCATACTCTCCTCCTGTTTAATTCATATTTCTAAAGTAAAACAAAAAAAATAGACGACAGATTAGTACAACTCGCCACATACAAAAAGGCAATTCACAGTAAAAGGGGTCAAATGAAACAGTTTCTGAGAGAAATCCGGATGTGACAGTTGTTTCCTGTAACTTCGGGGTGACTCAGCGGTGAGAAAAACTGAAACTAGCTGTTGTACGTGAACATTGTCGGTGAGAAAATGGCTCCCAGTAGGTTTAGAGCTCACACAGTGTGTGTTTTAGAGCCAGTCACCGTCGGCCATGACTGCAATGGAAAGAGGAAGACGTGCTGCCGTCTGAGCTACATGCTAACATGCTAACGACATGTAACCTGCACGGACAAGCTGCTGTATGGAAGGTGAAAAGTGCCATAATTCACCTCAGTTGGCTCGTGATTCAAATCCAAACGCCGCCTTCAATGCTGTCAAAATCCGGGAAAATGCTGCTTTTTACAATTTTTTAAAATTTATTTTTACATTTTTTATTACAACTCTGCTTTTTCAACTGGCAAAAGCTGGAATGACGCTGCTTTTTAATGTCCTCCTTATACAATAGACTTAGACTGATTTTATTAGTCTCCAAAGTGAAATTCAGTTGTTATAGCAGCATGGATATTCAACAAAGGGGGTAAACAAAGCAAAAAGACAACACAGAATATTAGAGTAGGATATAAATGAAGGTACAGTGAGTTAAAATTAAATAAGATGAAAATATAGGCAATATAATACAGAAAGAAAAGTCCACAAAATTTACAAGAATATACAAGAGAGATACAGAAATGTGCAAATGAACAAAATGTGTAAATGATAATAATAAGAATACTGCTTTTTACACTGTCAACTGCTATCATAGCTCCACTTTTTATTTTGCTTTAATTACAATGCCACTTTTTACACTGTCAAAAGCTGGCATAATGCCGCCTTTTACAGCGTTCCAATTACAATTTTGCTTTTTATGCCATGAAAAATTTGCATTTTAACATTTTTTCCAGCACTTTTGTGAGAGGCATTGAAAGCCTACTTGTTCCACCAGATTTTACAGCACTTTTCTGTAAGGTAGATTACAACTGCGTTCCAATACCCACACTACCATGCTATATAGCACGTCAGAAAAAGATTTAGTATGTCCCATTACATCATATTTCAAATGTAGCATGGCAGAAATTCCAGGGTGTCCTACTACATCCATTTGGATTTTGCAGTATGTAACCCAGCATGTTTTTGTGGCCATTCTGACCTGCAATCCAGTGGAGTGCAGTTATGTTGTAATGTCTTGCACGAGTATAGACCAGCTTTAGCTGCTGAGAGCACACAGACAGCTGACAGTTCATTTATCACTGTGGTCAAAGCTTAGTCGTATGACCCAATTGTATGTGTACTGCATGAAATCATACATACTTTGCTCCTGCAGCTGCAGCACGTACTGAAAGTAAAAAGAACAAGTATAGGATTTAAAAGGCAGCCTATATTACTATAGCAGCAAGGAAGAAGTTTTAATCGTTAACATGACTTTCAAACCTCCACCTCTTCATTACACAGCCAACATTCAGACCATTAGACTATTGTCTGATATGTATTGCAAGAGAAATTTGGCACTGAGTAAATATGGACTGGTCCATGCATTTATATCCACAAAAAATAAATAAATACAATTGTTAAAGCAGTAATTTTCACCAAAAAAGCAATGTGATCATATTATTTGGAAAATCAATATTTGACCTTATGTAAACTGTACACTTCACAATGGTCCTGCAACAAATACAGATAAACAATCAGCCATTTATTGGTTAGAAACCAACCTAATAGCGCAATATAGACAGCACAAATTAACACAAGTTATTTTAAAACACACCAAGGAGAATCACGAGGATTCTATTTTCACTGCTTTGGTCTTAATTGATTTGAGCTGATTGGCTGTGCAAAACAGAGGATTTGCTGCCCTATGGAAAAATTCTGTAAAAACCGGCATAACTAACTGATTTCTGTTAGTGTAAAAAGTAGCGTCTTGACACATTTTTTCCAGAACTTTGTGAAAAGAGATATTGTTATTAAACTGCCATGAAAAGCACATCTTCTGTGTCTAATACTGGGATAATTAGAGCACCATAAAAAGTGGTATTAAATAAGCTTTTGGCTGTGTTAAAAGTGAAATTGAAAGTAGAGCTCCCTTAATAGCAGTGCTCTGACTTGAATCTGGTGCAAACGGAGCTAAATTGTGGCACTTTCCACCTCCCATAATCCTGCACCTGCTCGCGCAGTCATGACCCGCTACAACACCTCACTGCTGTGGAGGCAGACGCTCTCTTCTGCGCAGGCTCGGTCTAGATTTCGGGGATGGGTCTATCGATGAAGTCAAGATGGCGACTCTGGCAAAAGCGCCAATATATTTACTGAAGTAGATGTTCTAAATTAACCGAGGTAGCGGGTTTTCCCAAGCCCCTCGGTGGTTCAGTGAAACATGAAGACCGGGAGCATGTTTTTGAAGAGGAATTGACCGGGATTAATACCGTAACGAAGTCAGCGAGATGTGCGAGAGCTATGCCCGCTCGCTGCTGCGTGTTTCGGTGGCGCAGATCTGCCAGGCGCTGGGCTGGGATGCGGTTCAGCTCACTGCGTGTGATCTGCTGTCCGATGTGCTGCATCGATACATCCAGCAGTTGGCCAGGGTCTGCCATCGGTACTCTGAGCTGTGTAAGTGCTTCGTGTAGTACTCTGATTACTTTTTTTACCCATAAACCTGAAGTAGTCGATCACGTTGTTGTTGACTGGCTCTGCAGCTGGCGCCCCCTAGCAACGCTTTATGTGTCAAAAAGTACAGTAGCTACATAGCTTAGCTGCTCCCGTATTTTTTTGTTATTGGGGCGATGCTGCTTCCCAGTTGTTTTTACCATTGTTGAGCAGTCGATGTTTAGTGCATTGCTTATCCAAGTGTTGCATTAATAGAAAAAATACGGTCACTGTCCATCTGGAACCTGTTGAGCATCACTTCTAGCTTCACCTCCTCCATCACTAGCATGCAGTCAAACTTGTCTCAGGCTGTTATCAATCCTGACAGGATAGTTTAAATACAAGACGACATGCAGAGTGTAATGGCTTGTTTTGTTCCAACATTTCAGATGGAAGAACCGATCCGGTCCTGGATGATGTCAGCCAGGCTTTCAGACTGCTGGGGGTGAGTCTGAGCGAACTGGAGGACTACGTCCACAACCTGGAGCCCGTGGCCTTCACCCATCAAACGCCGCTCTTCCCTGTCAGCAAAAACAATGTCCTGCAGTTTCCTCAGCCCGGAGCCCGAGATGCAGAGGAAAGAAAGGACTACATTCCAGATCACATGCCACCGCTGGTCTCCTTACAAGAAGGTCGGTACCTGTGCGAGGCACTAGGGCTGCAATTAATGAGTGTTTTTATTGTTCATTCACATGTTTCATATTTTCTCAGTTAATTAATTAGTTGTTTGGTCTGTAAAATGTCAGAAAAAAAGTGAAAAATGTGGATCAGTGTGTCCCAAAGCCCAAAAAGATGTCCTCAAATGTCTTGTTTTGTCCACAACTCAAACATATTCAGTTTACTGTCGTAGAAAATTAAACAAACCCCAAAATATTCCAATTTTGGAAGCAGCAATTGATAAATTTTAACTCTAAATGTCATTAAAAAATGCTCAAGTGATTCATTAATCATCAAAATAGCCAGTGAATAATTCATAGGTGACAACAAATTGACTAACTGATTATTTTTTGCAGGTCTAATATGTACATTACTTGGTGTGTTCAGTGTTTTCCCCAAAGTTTGTATGTAATCTGTCCCTGGAAGAGATTGGTCACATGCTTGGGCTGAAAAACTGATATACCTGACAGTTTAAAGTTGACATCAAAACAGCGTTACATTCACTTCAGTTTGCTTGACTATGTTTTCAACCGGTCCACAATTTAAAGTACATTCTCAAGATAATTTGGAAGTGGTCCGTTTGTATATTGTGTGTAACTAGCATCTGTGTTTGCTGTTTTGTAGTTTCACTTCTTCTGATAATTTTTCTAAAGGTTGAAAATCAGGTACTGCAAACCAAATATTAGAAACACTGATTGAGTGCAGTTCAACTGTACCACAAACTACAGCATCTAAAGTGACAGTTAAGCTGAGTGGACACTTCTCAAAAACATTTTCAGCAAAAAGTAACAACAACCTCTATGAAGTTAAAGTTTATTACGGTATATTGGACTGCTCCCTTCACTTTTTGTGTTATGGATATCATAATAAATTTATAGAAATTGCAATTTTACCCATCAATCTACACTCAGTTTTCATACCAACAAAGTAAGAACATATTTTTAGTAGATTTCGTTTTACAACCTTGTTAAAAAATCCCAAACTAATTTTTCATATCTGAAAGTATTTTACTTAGTTTTAGAGGGGTAAACTTAATGAATTCTCTATAGAACCATATATTTGGTCAGGGCAAATCTTTTTTTAAACTCTCACCAAAGTAACCTGCATATGTTTTAAAGGAGGCGTTGTAAGAATTCTTGAAGCCTAGTTTGAATCTGTGCTTAACTAACTGTTTGTCCATTTCCTCTGTAGAAGAGGAGGAGGAAGAAGTCCCTGCTGACATGGGCACCTCAGCTGAAGCTATGCAGGTGGCACTGGAAGAGGATGAGGAGGAGATAGATGAAGATGAGACGGTCAACGACGAAAACCACCCACTAAAGAGGCACCTGGACAGTCCTGATGCAGCTATGGGCATGATGCCTACCTCCAAGAGACCGCGCATGTACCCAGGGCTCAGCCCAGAATGGGGGGTCGAGCCCAGGGAGCCCCTTACCTCTCTCAACCCTCAACGTGTTCCCCCAGGCATGCTGCCGTCTCATGACAGCCTCGACCCGCTGTCACCCGAAACACCTTCTGGAACTCTGCCTTCCTTCAGACCTCAGCCAGTAATGCCAAAACACTCTGATCAAAAGGGCCTCACTACTCCGGGAAGAAAGCCTAAGGTCTCATCCCCAGGCAGACAACGGACTAAGTCCCCTAAAGGGGTTATCCCTGTTCCAGTGGTTGGCAGTCCCATCCATTCTCCCAAACCATCCAAGGAAAGGAAGAAATCTCCAGGCAGGACGAAGAGTCCTAAAAGCCCAAAGAGCCCGAAGATGGGTTCAGCTAAGGCGCCTCAACCACAGAGCAAGACAGATGGCGTGCATAAGCTCCCGCTGTCTGCGTTGAGTGAGAGAATGGGCAAAGAGAACATTCATATGCGTCAGAATATAGAAGACAGGGAGTTAGCCGAGGGCCCATTCAAGAAACTAGAGCCTGAAAATACAGCCATTGATGACTCTATTGATGCTGTGATTGCTCGGGCATGTGCTGAACGGGAGCCTGATCCCTTCGCTTTCTCCTCAGGCTCTGATTCAGATAGCAATGGATTCTCCAGTCCCAGGAGACTGACCATTATGGAGCCGTCTACACCTAAAAACCCAATTGTGGCTGGCCACATGTTAAAAGACACGTCGACGCCACTCCACCTACAGCCACACGCAGGCCTCGGAAACTGGACTATGGACGACTCGATCAACGAGGTGATCCGGAAGGTGAACCAGGGGGGTCCATCCGCCCCCCCTCAGAACCAAGCAGAGTACGTGTCGTCCGGTTCAGCCTCACCACCCACACCTGAACCACTGCTCAAGATTTTTGAGGAGAAAAACAAGATTGTGTCATCCGTAGATGTCAAGAAGAAGCTGAAGAAGGAGCTCAAAACCAAGATGAAGAAGAAGGAGAAAGACAAACCGAAAGACAAAGACCGGGAAAAGGATAAGAGCAAACTCAAAGAGAAGAATAAGGAGAAGAACAGGGATAAAAACAAGGAGTTTTCCAAGGAAGCCAAGATGCCTTGGAAAGACTTCGGACTGAAGGATGATGAACTCTTTGTTCAGCGAGACTTTACTCTGCCCGAGGGCTCCATTAAGATTAAATCAAGAGATGGTGATGGCCCTAAGAAGGAGAAGGAGAAACATAAAGACAAAAAGAAGGATAAAGAAAAAAGTAAAAAGGACAAAGATAAGAGGGACAAGGGTAAAGACAGAAACAAGGATGACAAGCAGAAGCAATCTGCCTTATCCCCCTTTGCTCTGGGAGAAGTCCCTCCACTGTTCAGCCCCTCTACCTGCCTGCGCATTCCCTCCATGCTGCCTCCTCTGGCCCCGATCCTCCAGGATAAAGACGTGAAGAGCAAGGAGAAGGACAAGAAGAAAGACAAGAAAGAGAAGAAGAAAAAGAAAGATAAGGAGAAGGATAAGGAGCGAGAGAAGGCCAAGGAAAAGGAGAGGGAGAAAGAGGAGAAGAGGAAAGAAAAGGAGAGGGAAAAGGAGAAACGGGAAAAGGAGAAAGAGAAAGAAAAGGAGAGAATTCGACTGGAGAAGGTAACTTTTGTTTTTGTTTGTTACTACGCCGCTGTGTCATAGTGTCACTGAAATTGACCTCGACTTCTCTGTCTCCTCAGGTGAAAATAGACACTCCAGCAGCGTTGCCATCTCCAGTCATCCCCAGACTGACACTCAGGGTGGGAGCGGGTCAGGACAAAATGTAAGTACTGAGTGAAAGCTTCTAGTGACACCACTCCACACAAGGTGCTCTTTTTGCAGCACTGTGACATATACTAGTAGTTGTGGGTCTCAAACCTTAATACTTTATTGGTACTGACTGAAATGTGTGTGCTGCGTGAGTGCAGTATTTTATGTGGAGTTACTTTATTATTGAAGTCAAGTAAACAACTAAAACTTGCCTCAAATATTTGTTCATATTCATAGTCTTGTTTGTTTATTTTTTAATAAGATTTGATTTGTTTGGAACTGTAGCGGCACCAATTTAATTTCCTTCAGTTGCTTACGATTTGAGAGCCTTCCTTTTTCATTAAAGGTGGTTTTGTAAGAGAAAAATGTTTTATATTTCCCAAAGTTTTTGCATTAAGGATTGTTTTGTTATGCCAAAACTCAGCTGTGGTGTTGGCACTTACTATCTAACCTGTGTTTAATCAGCAATGTGCAATTGCAGTAAAAAAAAAAATAGGCAAAACATACACTGTGTAATGTATATTTGATATACATTTGCATCATATGCAGCAATATCTGTATATGTAATATGTTTTCTACCTTTTTTCTTTTTTTACATCACTGATCTTGTCTCAGATTCTGTTCAATGGATTTTAAAAAAATCTAAATAAAAAGTTCTTATTAAAAAAAATGCAAAACATAACTTGAAATAAAAGAAAAAATAATTCAAATAAAAAATTACAAGTACGTCCAAAAACAATGTTTTTTAAAAGCACATTCTTAATCCTCTGAACCCACCGGTGGGTGTGAAAGGCATGTTATTGTTTTCAATAAATCGCAAGAATAACACCACTTACCATAGCAAAAAACTGAAAATATGAAGAATCGCTGGGCTTAGTGGGAAAAACAACCAAATCAAAGCTAAAAAATCAGAGTGTTTACTCAAAATAAACCCAAAAATGTATCGTTTGCGGTAACTAGATTCTGTAAAGAGTGAAAAATCCTGGGCTCCTCGACGCAACAAGGAAGCTGTGACTCAGCTGTAACCAAGATCCACATGACTGAAATTCAGGGACTTTTTGGCTAAACTGCCGGCTGTGTTTACACAGAGCAGATAGGAGACAAGTATGGAGACACATTTTAGTAGTAAAATATCTATAGTATGTGGAGTTATCATCGGTAACACGCGTGGGCACTTGTAAAAAAAAAAAAAAAAATGCTGTACATGTTCATTCAAGCTTTTTTATATTTTTGTAAAATAAATAATTTAAAAAAATTAAACTTTTTGTTTTCTTTTTTAGTCTTTATGACTTTGTAACTGTGTCACCCTGGCCAAAAGACATTTTTGAGTTCTCTCTACTTCTAGCTGTGGTTGTGATATTTTCCATTGAGGTGCAGGAAGAAAAAAAAGAGCCCACAGGGAATAAAAATATAGAGGGAGCAAAAAAACACCCTAAACCTGCTTAGGGTGAAGACAGTTACGTTATCCCGATGACAACATGTTGTGTATTTTTAAATTGCACTGATAAGAACCTATTTAATTCACTACTGGCTTCTTACATCCTTCATATTAAGCGTTAGGTCTCCTGTTCAAACTAACCTGTATTTGTTTCTGTCCATCATCAGTGTTATCAGCAAGGTGGTCCCGAATTCAGAGCCCAAGACGCCTGCACCCAAGATCCCCGCTGTCAAGTCAGGACCTGTGGTTCTTCCTCGGCCGCCCCCGCCGCCGCCGGTGCTCCCCCAAGTCCCACTCATCCTGCCCCCACCTCGCTCACCACCTCCACCCGTGCCTCCCCCGTCGTCGTCATTGCTCACCCCATCCCCTATGCTTTCTCCCGCCGCTTGCATCAAAACGCCAGTCCGCAGCGTCGTGACTGAGACCGTCAGTACTTATGTGGTGAGTGCCGATACTTTGAGTATTTGTTTACTGGAAACTGCTTCAGCTTTACCAGGCTTAATTCAGTGTAGGTGCACATTAGTCAAGATAAAATGTGATTATCCTGTGTGTTTTGTTTTCTTTTTTGTGTTTTGCAATGACTATGTATGAGCTGTTTTGTCTTTGAGTGGTGTTTTATTGAAGCTTTCTGTTATCTGCGTTCACCCAAGATTCGTGACGAGTGGGGAAACCAGATCTGGATTTGTCCTGGATGTAACAAACCTGATGATGGCAGTCCCATGATAGGATGTGACGACTGTGACGACTGGTACCATTGGTAAGAGATTTAA